CCTGTAACCCAGCCGAATCTCTCATTTGTGGTGTTTTAAAGTGTGTTGAAACAATCTCACAGCTGAGTTGATTTCGTCCATCGTTTAAGTTCTGATCTCATCAAATATTAATTTCTATACTTATATGCGGAATTTTTTACCACGTTCTTTAGCTGCCCCTGAGCGCTGGTATACATATCAAGCAGCCAGTTGGACGAAAGCCAACGGTATTTTGGTACAAGTTCACATTGTGTCTTGTGGCCAATGCTTGTGAACAGAGTTTGAAAGTGGTCACAGTGGTATGAATTACACAGCTGCTATCATTGATGGTCACTTTGATTACGTTTTTATATTTTATATTGCCAATATAATTATTGACCCAAAGCTAGTTTCATTTATACAATCGCAAGCGTCGATACATACAGGTCATTTGTTTGGAAGGGAAGGATAAAATGGCCGCTACTCCCCAAAAATGAGCTGTATGCCCATGCTGGATGGGAACGGTGCACAATATGGGTTCTTATCGGAACCTGTTTAGTTAAAAGCCTCAGAAACACGTCACGGTTGAAAGAGTCCTCACTTGACCAGCACAGTGTGTACGTCCCAAAGCAAATAGACAATGGCGGCTAAACGGCCCAATTGAGCTCTTTCTCCTCATGTAGATGTAAATGAAGCAAGTCTCAGACAGTGTCACACGCGTCATATCTTTTCTAGTGTCTGATCTCTTGTTATGGGGACTTAATTTCGTCGGGCTATTGTTTTACACCCACGCTGCAAGTTGAGGTTTAACGTGTCAAAATCCTTGAAAGGGAAACCAAGTGTAAACGGAGCATCTATTGTCCAATAAGAATACCGCCGGTCAAGAGAACAAGCCAGAAAAACGGAAGCACAGATAACGTCTTCGGCTACTGCGTTCCATCACTTTTCTTCATGAGTAGTTCAGTGCTTTGTTCACAACTTATGCAAAACTGAATGTTCTAGAAGAGTCGAACTTATGCCCGCTGTTTGACTTTGTCATTAGCGAATTCAATCGACTAATGTATTGTCAAACACGGTGTTTTCGAACTTATATCCTTTCCGCTGACTGAAATGAATAAGTTGACGAGATGACCGAACATCGTCCCTCCACGAAGCACATGACTGAGGGTGGCTGAATTTCAAGTAGCAATAACACGGAGGTCCTAAGGATATGCAACCTTCATTAGTATTTTCAGTCCATTCACTATAGAAATGACATACTCTTCCCGACAAGGAAATCCTCGCATATCTGCATATATAGGATACGATCTTGCCTGAGATGAAGGCGCAGCTATCACATGTGCACCATCACGTGACTTGGTCATTTATTTTGCCACGTTATAATATGTGCTTGGATTCCCCTCTGCCCCAGCCATTTGAACGCAGTCGAATTAATCGATATGTGTTACATTCACATGATTTACAGCACAGTAAATTCATGGGAGATGGGGACAACAGGAACTAACAGAACGAACGAAATGGAGTTCTGTTAAACGGGAACAACTGTGTTCTGCCTTACGGACGACTGACAGCCAGGGAACGGATCGAAATGTTGTCACGTGACTGGCATGGTTGCCGTATTACTAATTTATCGAGCAACGTTCAAAGTCGCACACCCGTTTGGTCGAAACGCGTAGATTCCCGGAGCATTGGTATGTGAAAAGGTCACACAGTTGGCCAAAACATCTTCGAAGTGTGTGCTGACCTTATCACGCAGCTTTTTTGTTTCGTGTTCTCGGGAAAGTGGTGTGCGCAGTGAATGACTGGGCCTAAAATCATAGACCTATGGCGGCAAACAAGTATGATTTTAAAGGGCATTGTCGCGGTAGTTAGCCAGAGGGACGTCTGTGTATCACTGACCAGTCTATCGGGACATGAAGTGCATTTATCGAGTTTATGGAGAACACTGATATTCTGCAATGGAAGATCCATATTCCTTCTATTTTCGGCAATTTAGACAAGCAGTCGCCTCCTAGTGGACGATTTAGCCACCAATTGTGCCAAATTAAAATCCACCGTTGCAAAATCATTGAATAAAAGCCCCGAGTGTTTATTCTGGATCGATATGAGCAAGCTGTTCACCTTGTGGCAAGCAGTGAACAATTTGAGGGTTAGGGCCAAAACATGAACTTCAATAATCAGTTTGGTGCATGGAATGCCAACGGTCTCAAAGCTGCTAGGAGTTCCCTTTTTCCGTATGAGTAGATCATTCAAGTGAAAGAATTTCCGCGATTAGCGAAAGGTTTATGAATAAAACTACACTGGAAAATCGTTGCGTTCCATTGGAGATGATTCATCGAATTTGTTTTTTCACATCTTAGCTGCAAAAGTTTTCAGGCAACTTATACTACTTAAATATATGTCGACATACTAATTTGTATATTCACTCAGATGTGTCATTTCTGATTTGACTACAACAAATCTGCGAGGCGCTTGGCTACAGCTCCACTATTCTACAAGCTAACTAACAATGTATACCCCTGTGTACGAATAAACTGTTGCGCGATTCCACCAGGTTAGGATAGAAATCAGGAAAAAATCGTCTTTAGTTGAAGCTACTAAACTTAAACTGATGGTTGGTGGAGGGCGGTACGACTATTGTCTGGTTGTCAACGGAAAAAACACGGGATTGATCAACAAAACATGCTTCTTTCTTAATGCCAAAAAATTATTTCATGACTGCCATGTACCATCACTAAAGATGTGAACTTTTATCCATTCACTACAAAACCTTTAGGGATTATCCAGAACCTTCTTCCTTACACCCTGTTGCCTGGTCGATCATTTGTGTGTGTGACAGCGTGTTAACCAATCAAAGTCTGTAATACATGTTTCTACTCATGACAGACTCAAATCCCATTGTGATACCCTTTAGAATGTTCGTCTCGGAATTGCGTACTACTGAAAACAGAGCCTCGTCCGGGAACAACTTGTGTAAGGAGCCGGAACCATTCCAAACTTTGTACTTCCGAGGAGTACGCTAGCAGCTTACCTTGCCTAAGCAACATTGTCGGTTATTTACAGCACTGCTGTGAGGAATAACTTTTTTTGTCCGGAAAAGGGATAGTTAGTAGGATTAAACTGATTGGGTGTCACACATGGACGTTAGTAACGCTTTTTCGGTGTCCTTCGAGGTTTCCGATCTGTTGAGTAATAACTAGTAATCGGCGTCATTCAACCTTTGTGTGTGCATTTAATTAATACGAAGTTTACGTTGGTCCATATGGTACCGATATCTCTGCTTTCCTTAGGTTGTAGGGACAGCGGTTAGCCATTTCTATTGGTTGTTACAATGACCCACGACACCAGTTGACTTTATTCCCATCTTTCGAAATCTCATTTACCGCCAGTGTGAATACAAGCACTTGTATTTCCCGAAACCAAACTACCCACAAGGTTTCTGAAAACCCTTCGAAATTTAAACACCGAACTCACCCTGTGTGGAGGTCATTAGATAACCACAGTCATCGAGTGGGCTATCGGAGAGTTTTCAGCAACCATGTGATTAGTTTCCGTTATGGAAATACGCTGCGATATCTCGAATACTGTACCAACTGAGGCGATGTTTTCGCAGCACATTCATTTGAGAAATATCTTGGGTGAGAGTCTCAGATGAGTCATCCGTGAAAATCAAATTGATTTGCAAATGAGAATATTCGTCAAGTGCACTTGTACCGTGATGTTCTAAAAACACCAACATCCGCAATGTGTGTGAAAATCCATAGTCAGTGATCCTCCAGGTAGACAAAACCTGAAAGTATTTTGTGCCATGGTTCCCAGCCATTTAGTTCGACAAACGAACAACAAACAGCACTTGGAACGGCCTGGAGAGGAAACACTGATTCAGCGACTCGTCGAAACTAGAAATCAGACGAAGTGGTGAACAAACATTTGGTGAGCTTCTACCAGCGCACCTCCGCAATTTTCCGTGTATCCCAGATCCTCGAAATATCACAACATTCAGTCCGAATGCACAAATTGTACTCAAATCATACTCAAATCGTAGTTGACCGAGTGTTCCACTGAAATGGCTGACATGATTTCGTTTGACCAGAATCTGCCGCAAAGTGAAGGAGTGAATATGTTTTTTGTGTTATTCTGGATCCAAAAGTCTCCAAAACGTCATTGTGGGGTAACAGAGAGATAATCGTTATGGCCTAAGTCAGTATCTTGTTGTTGTAGCCTACAATAAGGAAACGTTTGCCGAAGGCAAGAGATGTCGTGGTTTTCCAGTAAGTCATACGAAAAGCGCCCAAACTAACACTGTGTACCTGCAGGCCGCTTTGAGATACAGCTGATAATGATGATGATGATGATTGAGAGACATCTCAACCGATTGTTTCGCAAAGTCTCCTGTTGCTAGAAACGATGGTCTGCCCATCACGTCTCTAGGTACGTCAAGAATTCCCGCCCTTGTCGATTTTTACAAACAGGGCAAATGCTGCTTGGTTTTCTGGAATGTGGAGCTCAAATACGGACAAATAATCCTGTTCGAGGCATTTCAGATTCCTATGTTAAAAGTAACCAATAAGTGAGGGTATATCCTATTGACGAGATGTAATTAGGGGAAGGTAGAATTCAACTCTCTCCCAGTTTCACAAAATATATTTTGACAGCTGCGGTATAATGGGAAGTCCATCGTTCTATCGGTTAGATGCGAATAAAATCGCAAATTCCATTAGCTGTCGTTGTGACCTATGTCTGATTCACCTCGAGTGAATGTCCTCTTATGGTGAGAGCAGGCAGAAAGCGCATAACAGCTGTTTCAGATAACGCTTGCAAGGAACCATGAAAATCATGCCTCTCGACAAAAGTGGGAAAAATAAACTCACTTGATATCCAATCAACGCACAAAAATCCGGGTGAATTTGTTATGTTGAATCGTTCTTAGTGCCATCAGCAACTGGGGTATTTCTCCAGTAATCTTCTCTGGCTTTTCATATTCTTTCCATTGACCAATGGCAAGTTTTCCAGTGACCAATCAGCGTTTGCTTCATTTCCAGCCAATCAGAGGATTCTCTGTATTCAGGAGGATTTGTCGGACATTTCAGCAGCCCTTACGCGCCAATCACGTGAAGTCACCTCATTCCTCGGGACCACGTAAGTGCGTAGCCACCTTCAATTGCTTTTTTTAACCTTGAGCTTCAATCCCACTAATTGGTGGCCTGTTTTCTTTTCCACAAGTAATTTTCGCTGAACTCATCAATCAATGCGTTGACCTTTAAGGACACCTGCGTAGAGGGACAACCGATCTTGAGCTAAAGGCTAATCACGAATTTTAAGGTCATGGAGTACGTGTGTGGCGTACATATGTGGCGTATCAACTGGCGTGATTCATGAAGCCTAAAGTAATCATCTGCTTAGCGAATATACACTCATTTGCAAACTAATTTGGTTTTTTCGAGAGACTCAACTGGAACCCAGCTGAATCTCTCGTTTATGATGTTCTCGACGAACTTTCAGCAACCTTATGAGTAGCACATTACAAAGATAACCATCTGCTTGCTTTCCGCGATTAGCTCTGGCCATGAACGTCAAACATCCTGATTCATTTTTTGCGGCGGGCTTTGACCGCGTGGTTGCGAAGCGCCACGTCAAGTTTAATCGGAGGGCTGGAATGCATTTTAACAGAGGGTATGCGAGGTTTGCAAACTTTATGAAAAAATAAGGGGAAATTGGATATCCACCAGCCTCGAAATTGTCACAGTGTTGAGCAATCTTTTAAAGCTTCATTCAGGGTTATTTCTTATGGCCACACGTTTCGAAGCACATCAACGGCGTTGTTTGTGTGCAATCCATTCCCATGAATTGGAGTAAATAATTGGTATTTTTATTTCAGATATTCAATAAAATGTCAGCTTTCATGGTTATTTTTGAGGGAAAACCAATCTTGGACGACGGTCAATATTATCCTGATGCGGAAACCGATTTCAGTGCCACAGATTGGTTTAGCGGGATGATATTTTCGCTCGCTGTCACGGAAGCTTCATCGTGAACTTGGCTTCCATTTAGTCCTCTTTCTGTCTACACGTGCGAGCCAGTAAGTGAGTTTTTTGCTTCCAGTGGTCTCGTTACGTTCGTACTGTCAATGACATGCTGCTATGACGATTATTCCGCCTGTTTCATGCCAGGCCGATTTCCAATGAGCGGGCTGGTACTCGTTCTCGTCACACGACTGGTGATGGTGTCTTAAAAGACACGCATACTTCAATGCAATTTCTTGATGTCTCACCCGTATCCCGAATCAAAACATTATCAGGAAGTCACAAGAGCGATGCGACGTTAAACGCCCCCCGGTTTTTGATTCAACGTTACTTTGACATGAACGTTATTTTGACATGAAAACAAGATCGGTTTTAAACTACGGTCCTTAACAGACCATTATCCAGATAGGTTATTTTGAACGTATCACGTGAATGTGTGACGTCTCGGCCAACAACGCTGCAAAAATAACAGTGTCACCGTAAGGCACTTACTCCAGTCTCTCCAGTACCCTATCTCCCCAAGGTTGTTCGCCGGACACGTGGTAATCTGATTCATGATAAATGATCTCGTCTTGGTTTGTCGCTCGCCAAAGCGATCAAAAAAACACGTGACAAACCCAAATACCTGTCACCAGTTTATTGATCTTGGACAACTCTTTTGAGTTGGTTCAAGGAAAACCTACACACAATTGACAGTTGAAGAGTGGGAAACTCCTGTTCCCAGTAGACCTCGTGCATTGTTTTACGCATGGCGAAATCATTTTGGAGGCCATGATTTTTAAATTCGAATAGGTTCTCGATTTTTCCAAGGAGGTATTGGGACCTGTTTCATCAGAGGCTACCGCGAAGTGCTTATTAGCTCGACGTCCTGACAGGTAAAGTTGAAGAATACAAGGGTTCAAGAAGTCGTATTCGTCTTTAGGTGGGGAATTAATGTGCGGGTCAACTGGCGACCGACATTGTCATCAATGTTTGTGTATTTATGTCGAGGAGTCTCTGAGGACAGACTAACTCCGTGACACCTTGCAACACTAAAAATGTGATTAGGTTGAAAAGCATTTGAGGGTAGTAAACCTACTGAAAGGATGTAACGATTCAACAAAAGGACATAGCGTTGGCCACTTCTGTAGATTGGATTGCCACCAGTGACTAAGAATTGCGGGGAAAAAAACAACACATTGCGTATTCCTATGAAAGCTGACTATGGTCCCTTGAACACTGACGAAACGTTTGCCAATCCAGCTGCCGACATGGCAACAGGCTGAGGGCGCTAGCATTTCACAACACTGCCAACCTAATTTACGGATACACGGTGGTCCTATTCAACTAACTTGGTTAGCCGAACAGCCATATTATTTGGGAAAAAAACAAGTGGGCAAGAATACATTAGTGTTGCTGGTGGACCCGATTAGGAACAGAACTTACCGGACTAAATTGCGCGAAGTCCGCCATGTAAGTCCATATCTTACTCCCCTGAGGCTTATTCTGGCAGCCGGCGGTGCAGAATGTCCCCCATAATGCTGAGAGTAAAGTGCTGATTGTGAACTAAGCAGAGTTCTTTTACCAGGTACTGAGGTGACATGAAGGATTTTGAGGGTGAGGGACATCCGCACGATAGAAAGATGTGCAAAAAGGCGTTAGACCTACTCTAGCTCCGGCTGGATGGCTTGGAAACTCTGGTGATTTTGTAAGCACACCCATCACACTCGGTGCATGAGCCTGCGGAAACTAATTTCCTCGTGATTAATCGGGCGATCAGAAGCATTCAGGCAGTAAATTACCGCTTTTGCCTTATAGCCCAACGAGAAAAGCAGAAAATTACATGGGGTAATCAAGCAAACCAGACACCACAGTGCCGCTGGCAGTTCTTATGCAAGCAGGGTTACAGGTAAGAGTTCCATGGACCACTCGCCTTCCACAGCATCTGCTAAGGTAACATTAACGTTTCCAGTTGATGCGTTTGCCGTCTAAATAAGATGGTCCGGATGACCGAATCGAGGCTTGACTGGAAGAAGTTTTGGATGAATGCAGCGTGTCACGTTAGGCTTTCTAATCCTAACAGCTTGCATGCATGCACTTTCGTTCTGAGAGTGTATTCAATTTCACATCCGAAAATGTAGGCATCACATTGGCCTAGTTTACTTAATCAAGTTGCTTCCTGCAGAGAATGAGTGGGCTTGTGGATTGAAGCGGCGGTGAGTTGGATTAAATTCTATCCCAATTAAGAAAGGATATTATTGATGTTTGCAAGCACCGAATACCGATCAGAGGTCCTAGTGGAAGGACGAAGGCCTTCGCTGCGGGGTTCTTCATTAGAAAATGCCAACTGAGCAGTTACAGACTACTGGACAGGGAAGCAAAACTCTCATTTGCATCTTATTTACAAAAACTGGACATCCATCTTCTCCTGAACGCGTCTTCTTGAACTTTCCTGAATATTCATTGACTCCAATCATTCATTGCTCAAATGCAAGCAAATGTACCACAAAGCGACTCCACAAATTCCTCAACAAATCTCCCTCTTCAGGAGACGCAAAAGCGAGTTTACAAGAAACAAAACGTGCTACTCGTATGCCCCCTCATCAGTAGTACTATCGTTACACTAGTATGGACTGAAACGAGAGTAAAATACCCAGAAATATCAGGCTAATGACTGCTTAGTTGCTATTACCTTAGACCCATTCGTCGTTAATTATGACGGCGATTCGCGCACCCTTCTTTGACAATGTCCATCGCACGCATTTCTGTGAAAACCACTTTGTTTTTGATGTAATATTCTGACTGTGATGGTGATTGATGTGGCCCCCGATAGCTGTTTGTTTCGTATAATAATTTGGCGAACCCCACCCATAACTACTGAACCAAGCAGTGACGGCGTTTTATTCGATTGGAGATTAGTGAACTGGCGATGTTCCGTTGGACAGTCATCGGCCGAGTACATACCCCGGGCTACTCAGTTTGTTTGAAATCGTCATTCGTCATGCAAGTGATATATTGGTTAGCTTCCAGTAAAGTGGGGCGTATGTTGTATTAATATTTCGGAACCACCCAAAGGGGATAGTTGTCTTCAGATGTATCAGTTATGATCATCCGCCTTATGATGATATTTTCCGGTCAGATTGGGACACTTGAACTGGGAGGAATCCAAGATAAATCATTGTTATCGAATGCTTGGTTAATTTATCGCGATTGATTTTCAGATAGCTAAAGTAGGTCAAACCAAAATGAACAATTCGGTCTGTCCCATGAGTATCCTGTCTACAGCGGGATCACAAGTGCTCTCCAGTCTAGATATATTGCCTCGACTGTTACACATGATTTTGAGCGGCAAGATGAAGACATGTTAACCTGATTAAGCTTCTCGAATTGGTGCAACAGAATGGTGTTGTGCATCTGACAAGTACAAAGCTTCTCCTCACAAATTCGATAGTTGAATAAGCACTTGATTGTTTGCACATGCAATGACGCACGCATTTCAATTGTGAGTTGGTTGTAACGGGAGCATTTCGTAACAGGTACTAAACACCAAGATTCGATGCAACGTTGTACGCGTTCATAGTACACACTACCGGGTATTAAACTACGTATTGTTTTCAGATTAGGCAACGTGCAAGACGAGTGCGCTCCTTGTGAAATCCAGTGCACAGTAAGCCTGTCGACATTCGGTTGCCTTTCGTGAAGTGGGATCGTGGACAAGCAACCAGACGGTTGAAATCTCCAAGATTATGAATAAACGTAAATTGTGTTACATACCGAACCCCTTGTTTCATACATGGACACCGGAGACAACAAAACGACTTTATGCTGGAATTTCGATGATTAACAAGTGTGTTCCGTCTGGGAG